TGGTGGTGGTGGTGGCAATGAACGGTGGTGGTCTATGGACGACGATGGTTGTGGATGTGGTGGAGGAGGTTGTTGTAGTAGAAGAGAAGGTGGAGGTGGCCAACGGTGGTAGTGGCGATGGATGGTGGTGGTAGGTGGTCGATGGTGGTTGTAGAGGTGGTGATAGACGGTGGTAGTCGATGGTCAAGGGTGGTGGTGGAGGGGGAGGTCACCGATGGTGGCTACCAATGGTGGCAGCGACTAGGGGTGTAAATGATACGAGACAACTCGCGAGCTACTCGAGATCGACTCGGTCAAAACTCGGTCAACACTCGACACGAATAGGCTCGGCTCGAACTCGAGCTTGTCTCGATATATTAACGAGTCGAGTCAAGCTACACAGTACTCGACTCGAAAAGCTCGTGAGATACTCGATTATTTTATATATAATTAGTTTTAAAATATAATCAGTTTTTATGATAAAATTTGTAAAATATAAATAATAAAAATGTCCTACATTTTTAAATATTTAAACAAAATTATGCATTTTTTTAATTATAACACGAATCAATTATTATTTTTATTAAAATCAAAATTAAAAAAAAGACAAAGAAAAACTATAAAAAAAGGTTAGTGAAATTGTCCCGCATTGGAAGAAAGATGGTAAAGGAAGGGACAAAAAAATGTTATAAAAAGATAGGGAGGTGAATGTAATTTTTAACTTTGTCATTTTGATGATGAAGTTTGAAGTTGATCATTTAGTTTTGTAAAAACTAAGAGAACACATTTAAGTTTTAAAATTTATAAGAGAAAAATCCTAAAATTTCATAAATTTGAATGGATGAGCTTGGTTCGAGTTTGATTCGAGTTCGAGCTCGAGTTTGAGCTTGATTCGAGTTCGAGTTCGAGCTTGAGAAATAGTTATCGAGTTCGAGTCGAGCTTTGCTTTTTACTACTCGCGAGTTTTCGAGTCGAGTTCGAGCATGGAAATTCGGTTTCAAGTTGGAGTCGAGTACAGTGATACTCGAGCTCGACTCGCATCATTTACACCCCTAGCAGCGACTGCAACTAGCGGTCATGACCACTAAAACAAATACCATGTTAAGGTTATATATCAAACGAGAATTAGTTAGTTTTATTTTAGTTTCTATCTCATTCTTGTCCCATCTTGTTCCACATATTTTGGTGGAAAAAAAAAGCCTTTTTTGTCCCACATTGTCCCACCTTGTTGCAGTTCTTGTCCCTGTCCCATATCACACCAAACATGGGATAGTGAGTTATTGTCCTGGCCCGTGCCAAACGTGGGATATTGAGTTTTGCCCCATCGTGTCATGTCATGTTCTGTTCCATCCCATGTACCAAATGCAACCTTTAAGTCTATTAAAGGGACCTGGGATGATGCGGTTACACCGTCTATGTCGGATTTTCTGTTTGCAGCCAAACTTACTGTGAGTGAGGTGAATTATATGATTCGACCAAGTTTAGATGAGGAAATTCAGAAGGCAATGTTTGATATTGGAAGTGATCGAGC